TGATAGAACAATTAGCATAGCACAATATTAGTACCATACATTCCCATGTTGTACCATGCCACTATACTGTAATATTATCAGTAATATTACATGTAATATGAAATATATAATTATTATATTGTATTATTATTATTAGTATTATTATATTGTATTGTCGAAGGCTTTCATGGCTGGAATCACTGGGTTGCTGTAGGTTTTTCCAGGCTGTATGGCCATGTTCTAGAGGCATTCTCTCCTGACGTTTCGCCTGCATCTATGGCAAGCATCCTCAGAGGTAGTGAGGTCTGTTGGAACTAGGAAAATGGGTTTATATATCTGTGGAATGACCAGGGTGGGACAAAGGACTCTTGCCTGCTGGAGCTAGGTGTGAATGTTTCAACTGACCACCTTGATTAGCATTTGATAGCCTGGAAGTGCCTGGAGCAATCTTTTGTTGAGAGGTGATTAGATGCCCCAGATTGTTTTCCCTCTGCTGTTTTGCTGTTTTAATTTCAGAGTTTTTTAATACTGGTAGCCAGATTTTGTTCATTTTCATGGTTTCCTCCTTTCTGTTGAAATTGTCCACATGCTTGTGGATTTCAATGGCTTCTCTGTGTAGTCTGACATGGTGGTTGTGAGAGTGGTCCAGCATTTCTGTGTTCTCAAATAATATGCTGTGTCCAGGTTGGTTCATCAGGTGCTCTGCTATGGCTGACTTCTCTGGCTGAAGTAGTCTGCAGTGCCTTTCATGTTCCTTGATTCGTGTCTGGGCAATGCTGCTGCGTTTGGTGGTCCCTCTGGAGACTTCTTGTCCACAGCTGCATGGTACACGGTAGACTCCTGCAGAGGTGAGAGGATACCTCGTGTCCTTTGCTGAACGTAGCATTTGTTGGATTTTCTTGGTGGGTCTGTAGATAGTTTGTATACATTTGTGGCCAGTTGAAACATTCACACCTAGTTCCAGCAGACAAGGTCGAGCAATGCCTTCGGTGTTCTGCCAGGCTCCGACAGAAAAAGATAAGGGCCGCTCAAGGAAAGAGAAACCAGTAACTGAGTGCTTGGAATAGCTTAAAAGTTCCAAGCATGGGAAATTTAGCCAGATGAAGCATCATTTAGAATCCTGCTCCTTTTTTGTCTGTGTTTCATGAAAGCTGTGGTGGGAAGATTCATGCTTAATGATTTTTTGTTTCGTAGTTTGGCTTTTTGTCTTTTGTGATTACATACTCATGCCTTGGATCAACATTTCCAGATTCTTTGGATTTTGCTAGAGAAGTGTGGACTTTGTTTTTGGATATTGCTGAACTTTACCTTGGACTAATTGGTTCCTGCTTATCTTCTTACCTAATTGGATTTACCTATTCCTTTAAAGTGGTTTTTTTTTACTTTGCTGCTTTTACTTATCTTCAGTAAAAAGATTGTTTTCCCCTACTCAACGTGTGGTGTTTTAAAGTCAGAGGGTTATTCCTGTCCTGGAGTGCAACACATATGTACAATGTGATCAGTTGTATCAACTCACATAATGTCCTTTTATGAGAGATTTAAAATGGTCTTACATTGTCCATGTAGATAAACTTCCTCAACAGCTTATGAAGCATGAGCACACTCCAAACTCAGCCTCTCTTCTGCTCCCTTTGCTGCTCCAAACACCTTCATAGTTCAAGCCTGAACAAAATTGTAACAGTATCCAAAAGTCCCAGGCTCAGCCTGCTCCCCAGGCATAGCCTGACCAATCAGCTTCATGCATCTTATTTTACAGTTGACACACACACTCACTGATTCCTTACATGTTCCAACAATGATGGTGATGATCAGATCTGGGAGGAACAAAAATTGTGCTGGATTTCACTGTCTTCCCTGCTACCAACAATAGTAGTTACTAGCTGTCCCCTGCCACGCGTTGCTGTGGCCCAGTCTGGTGATCTGGAAAATAAAGTAATGAGAAAGTGTTGGTTTCTAATATATGTAATGTCTTTATGCTTGTGGGTAAACAAACAGTATTTCTTGCTGTGTCTTTGTCAGTGTTGATGTGGAGAGTGTCTGGTTTGCCCACCCTGGAACATGCAACATATCATTGTCCTTCTTTATGGGTCCCTTTCAAATCTATGATACTATATCTCTGTGTGTATGAATCATATCTATCTATCTATATATCTATGGCTGGATGGCTCTTTGTCAGGAGGGTTTTGATTATGTTTTCTTGCCCTGATGAAGGGAGTTGGACTGGATGGCCTTAAGTATTTTCTGTTGGCCATGGGGGTTCTGTGTGAGAAGTTTGCCCCGATTCTGTCGTTCGTGGGGTTCAGAATGCTCTTTGATTGTAGGTGAACTGTGAATCCCAGTGACTACAACTCCCAAATGTCAAAGTCTATTTCCCCCAAACTCCATCTGTGTTCATATTTGGACGTATTGAGTGCTTGTGCCATGTTTGGTCCAGATCCATCATTGTTTGAGTGCACAGAGCTCTCTGGATGAAGGTGAACTACAACTCCCAAACTCAAGGTCAATGCCCATCAAACCCTTCCAGTATTTTCTGTTGGTCAAGGGAGTTCTGTGTGCCAAGTTTGGTTCAATTCCATCGTTGATGGAGTTCAGAATGCTCTTTGATTGTAGGTGAACTATAAATCCCAGCAACTACAACTCCCAAATGACAAAATCATAATTTTTTGAGTGATGGTCACTCCTTGTGTGGTGAGACGTTTTGTTGCCAAATTTGGTGTGATTTCGTTCAATTGTTCTTTTGTTTTTAAGGAACTCATTACGCATAGAACATTTTTATATATATAGACTAGTCAGAAGATTATATTAGCTCTTTACAGTTTGCTCTTTCTGCTTTCACTGTGTCTTGATATCATCTGGTGCTCAGTTTTCTGGTTTTATATTGTAAAACCTGCACAGTGAGATACTTTTTTCTAGAAATAGAAAATGGGCTATACAATTACTTAAACAACCATTTTTTTAAAGTCACTTAAGTTAGGATTACTTTGCCATCATTGTTGTGTCTTCAAGTCATTTCCAACTGACGGTGACCCCAAGGCAGACCAATCACAAAGTTTTCTTTGCATTTTGCATTTGCCTTCCTCTGAGGCTGAGAGAGTGTGACTTGCCCAAGGCCACACAATGGGTTTCCAAGGTTGAGCAGGAATTCGAACCCTGGTCTCCAAAGTCATCGTCCAACGTTCAAATTGCTATGCCATAGGACCTTGACGTGCCGCTCAAGTTTCCAGTGTGGGAGATCCAAAGTGATCCTACCTTGACAGTCTAAGTGTATGCTATTTTGGGAGATGGAGAGAATGTTATTCACCTTATATAGCAGGTTTTTAAGAGATAATAAATTTGCAGTTAGTAGAAAGCCTATTAAAGGCAGTAATGTCGTGATGGCTCACAATGCCTGTCTTAAATTTGACCCCACCTGAATTGCTATGGCTCCATACTGTGGGATTCTGGAATTTGCAGTTTGGTGAGGCCTCAGCACCCTTTGGCAGAAAAGACTCAAGACCTTGTAAAACTACAACTCATATAGGGTTGTTGTAGGTTTTTTGCGGGCTATATGGCCATATTCTAGAGGCATTCTCTCCTTACGTTTCGCCTGCATCTATGGCAAGCATCCTCAGAGGTAGTGAGGTCTGTTGGAAGTAGGAAAATGGGTTTATATATCTCAACAAAAGATTCCCCCCAGGCACTGCCAGGCCATTAAATGCTAATCAAGGTGGTCAGTTGAAACATTCAGTATCCAATAGTCCCATCTATGGCAAGCATCCTCAGAGGTAGTGAGGTCTGCTGGAACTAGGAAAATGGGTTTATATATCTGTGGAAGGCCCAGGGTGGGACAAAGAACTCTTATCTGTTGGAGCTAGGTGTGAATGTTCCAACAGACCACCTTGATTAGCATTTGATGGCCTGGCAGTGCCTGGGGCAATCTTTTGTTGAGAGGTGATTAGATGTCCTTGATTGTTTCCTCTCTGTTGGTCATTCCACAGATATATAAACACTTATTCCTACTTCCAATGGACCTCATAACTTCTGAGGATGCTTGCCATAGACGCAAGTGAAACGTCAGGAGAGAATACCTCTAGAACATGGCCATATAGCCCGAAAAACCTACAACAACCCAGTGATTCCAGCCATGAAAGCCTTTGACAATACATACAACTCCTACAATTCCATAGTGGTGATCCGTGGCAGCTTAAGTGGTGTCGAACTGCATTATTTCCACAGTATGTATGCACGTAGTAGTTTTGCAAAGTTTTTAGCCTTCTCTGCCAAACAGTGTTAGTATCCTGCCAAACTACAACTCCTAGGATTCCATAGCAATGAGCTATGACAATCCAAGTAGTGTCATAGAATCAATCATAGAATCAAAGAGTTGGAAGAGACCTCTGGGCCATCCAGTCCAACCCCATTCTGCCAAGAAGCAGGAATATTGCATTCAAATTACCCCTGACAGATGGCCATCCAGCCTCTGTTTAAAAGCTTCCAGGACTGTGTTCACTCCACAGTGTAGATGCATCTGTAGAAATTGCCATAAATCAGAGTCGACATGAAAGGCACTCAACAACAACAATCTAGATATGGTTCTCTCTGGCTCTTATAGTTTACCCAAAGCAGAGTCTACCAGAAAGGTCATACTTTGTCTTCGTTATTCTCATCGGAAGAGTTAATGACATCCTTTGCATTGTGTTGTCAAAGGGTTTCATGTCCGGAATCACTGGGTTGCTGTAAGTTTTTGGGGCTGCATAGCCATGTTCCAGAAGCATTCTCTCCTGACATTTCACCTGCATCTATGGCAGGCATCCTCAGAGGTTGTGAGGACCTCACAACCTCTGAGGATGCCTGCCATAGATGCAGGTGAAATGTCAGGAGAGAATGCTTCTGGAACATGGCCGTACAGGCTGAAAAACAGCAACCCATCCTTTGCATTTCTCTATTTGTGATACAGGGAGGTGGCTTGTTTATGGGACCTGCCTGCACCGAATAAAGGCTCCAAGTAGAATGGGTGCATCATATTTCCTTTTCCTTTGCAGGTTTCTCTTCCACTGAACGGCTTCCGAGTGTTGATCCTGCCCTCTGCTCAAGATCGCACCGCTGCCTCTGAGATCTGCAATAGGTAAGTTCTTTGCAAACAGGTTAAAGCACATAATATTGTCCTCCACGTCTACACTGTAGAATGAATGCAATTTGACACCACTTTAACCCCTATGGCTTGTAGCTATGGAATCCTAGAAGTTGTAGTTTTACAAGGACTTGAGCCTTCTTAGCCGAGGCATGTTGGTGCCTCGCTAAACTATAACTCCCAGGATTCCATAGCATTTAGCCTTGGCACTAAAAGCGATTAAGCGGAATTTAGTCTGGTCCCATGCAAAAGACACAATAACTTGGCACAAAGGCATGAGGAAAAAGAACAGAAAACTTTGCTCTAGTCAACAGAGTCAAAAACATAAACTTGCAGTGTAGCATACAAAATAAACAGTGCAACAAAGTTACATACACCTTGTAAGAATTACAGAATGCGAAGAGCAAGGCTTCTTTCTTCATCTTCTGTCAAATGAGCAGCGCAAATGGTTGAGCAAAACGCTGTGTGCATAAGCTCCTCAGGGCAAAAGCTTTTTGAGCATAGAGCAGAACTGCATTCTAAACCACATACAGTTATACCCCACCGGGTATGGCTCAAACTTACTTGCTGACCTAGATTATCAGCTGCACATGATAATTAACAGGGAGATCATGCTCTCCCTCGATTCTGCCTTGGTTAGACTACACGTGGAATATTGTGTCCAATTCTGGACACCACAATTGAAGAGAGATATTGACAAGTTGGAATGTGTCCAGAGGAAGGTGACTAAAATGACCAAGGGTCTGGAGACTAGACGGCCCATGAGGTCTCTTCCAGCTCTTTGATTCTATGATTCTATCTTCCTTCAAAAGAGCAACACAAATGGTTGAGCAAAATGCTGTGTGCATAAGCTCCTCAGAGCAAAAACTTTTGAAGTTTAGAGCTGAACTGTATTCTAAACCACGTACAGTTATACCCCACCAGGTGTGGCTCATACTTACTTGCTGACCTAGATTAGGAGCTGCACATGATAATTAACAGTATAAGGTTTTCTTTAACACACACATATACTTGGTGTTGATCCTTTTACAACTGAGGAGTTTATGCTGTGTGCATAAGCTCCTCAGAGCAAAAGCTTTTTAAGCATATAGCCGAACTGTATTCCAAACCCCATACAGTTATACCCTACCGGGTGTGGCTCAAACTTACTTGCTGGCCTACATTAGCAGCTGCACATGATAATGAACAGTATAAGGTTTTCTTTAACGCACACATATACTTGGTGTTGATCCTTTTACAACTGAGTTTATGCTGTGTGCATAAGCTCCTCAGAGCAAAAGCTTTTTGAGCATAGAGCTGAACTGTATTCTAAACCACATACAGTTATACTTTACTGCATGTGGCTCAAACTTACTTGCTGACCTAGATTAGCAGCTCTACATGATAATTACAAGTATACGGTTTTCTTTAACGCACACATATACTTGGTGTTGATCCTTTTACAACTGAGGAGTTTATGCTGTGTGCATAACCTCCTCAGAGCCAAAGCTTTTTGAGCATAGAGCTGAACTGTATTCTAAACCACATACAGTTATACCCTACCGGATGTGGCTCAAACTTACTTGCTGACCTATATCATGCTCCCTCTCGATTCTGCCTTGGTTAGACCACATCTGGAATATTGTGTCCAATTCTGGGCACCACAATTGAAGAGAGATATTGACAAATTAGAATGTGCCCAGAGGAGGGTGACTAAAATGACCAAGGGTCTGGAGAACAAGCCTTATGAGGAGCGGCTTAAAGAGCTGGGCATGTTTAGCCTGAAGAAGAGAAGGCTGAGAGGAGACATGATAGCCATGTGTAAATATGTGAGAGGAAGTCATAAGGAGGAGGGAGCAAGCTTGTTTCTGCTGCCCTGGAGACTAGGATGCGGAACAATGGCTTCAAACTACAAGAGAGGAGATTTCATCTGAACATGAGGAAGAACTTCCTGACTGTGAGAGCCGTTCAGCAGTGGAACTCTCTGTCCCAGAGTGTGGTGAAAGCTCCTTCTTTGGAAGCTTTTGAACAGAGGCTGGATGGCCATCTGTCAGGGGTGCTTTGAATGCAATTTTCCTGCATCTTGGCAGGGGGGTTGGACTGGATGGCCCATGAGGTCTCTTCCAACTCTAGGATTCTCTGATTCTATCTTCCTTCAAATGAGTAATGCAAATGGTTGAGCAAAATGCTGTGTGCATAAGCTCCTCAGAGCAAAAGCTTTTTGAGTATAGAGCTGAACTGTATTCTAAACCACATACAGTTATACTTTACTGCATGTGGCTCAAACTTACTTGCTGACCTAGATTAGCAGCTGCACATGATAACTAACATTATAAGGTTTTCTTTAAGACACACATATACTTGGTGTTGAACCTTTTACAACTGAGGAGTTTATGCTGTGTGCATAAGCTCCTCAGAGCAAACGCTTTTTGAGCATAGAGCTGAACTGTATTCTAAACCACATACAGTTATACCCCACCAGGTGTGGCTCAAAGTTACTTGCTGACCTAGGTTAGCAGCTGCACATGATAACGAACAGTATAACGTTTTCTTTAACACACACATATACTTGCCGTTGAACCTTTTACAACTGAGGAGTTTATGCTATGTGCATAAGCTACTCAGAGCAAAAAAATTTTGAGCATAGAGCTGAACTGTATTCTAAACCACATACAGTTATACCCCTCTGGGTGTGGCTCAAACTTACTTGCTGACCTAGATTAGCAGCTGCACATAATAATTAACAGTATAAGGTTTTCTTTAACACACACACACATATACTTGGAGCTGATCCTTTTACAGCTCACCGTAAGACATTCTACAATCTAGATGCACCCAAGTGAGTTCCAGGCTGATGCATTGTATGTAACACTTGCTATCTTTTCCATTTCATTTTTGGAACCAAGACATTTATGAAACAGATGTCCACAATTCAATGGTGTGGCAGAAGTGCTAAAACATAACCCAGAGCTTTTTGCTTATGTGGATTTTGGTGCGGTCATTCCCATATGCAAAGTATGGGACGCTGTCTGTGTTATATCACTGAGTCAGAAATAATCTTCCATAACCCAGTCGGAAAGTGAAACAGACATGGGATTGTGCAATCATGGAAGAACTCACAGCTCAGGTTCAGCCTTCTTTCCCATCTGGTTTCCTCTTCATCAACACTGTGGTTACATCCGTCTTCACTCGACATGTGCATCTCATAAAGGAGACTCCCAACGTATTTTTCTCTAACTCAGGGTATTAGAGCCTCATTGGCTTTTTTTGCCATCCACAATTGATTGATTGATTGATTGATTTCAGATATTTGTACCCCGTCCTTCTCAACCTCAACTGGGGGGACGGGATGATTCAGGGCGGCTTCCAGCCTGCAATGATTCGATGCCTCCATGTGCACATAATAAAATACATAATCAAATTCAATAATTACATACAGTTAAAAACATTAAAACAATTCAATTAAAATCTGTTTAAATATAACAGCCTGGTGACTCAATCAAGCTTGACCATAGTCCATTTCCGTAGCGATTGTCATCATTGTCATTGTCAGCATGATTGCCCGAAGGCCTGGTCCCACATCCACGTCTATGAGTCTATTTAATTTGTATTCTATAGTAATATATAATAGTAACATATTATATAGTAATCTATATAACAGTAACATATAAAATATTGTAATTATATCTTATATCTATACACACACACACACACACACACACACACACATATATACACATATGTATTATATAGCAATATATAAAAGACTATGGGTGTCTTTGTGGACATGCACTGTTTCTCCTTGTAGGAATTTTGGGTTTAGAAGTCCTTTCTGCTTCCCCTCCCCCCTTGTATTTTTGAGTGAAGGACATACATTGGCCTGATAGGTGTCTTGTGTCCAAATTTGGTGCAATTCATCCAGTGGTTTTTGAGTTCTGTTAATCCCACAAATGAACATACACACACACACACACACACACACACACACACACACACACACACAACTTGTGAACTGCGTATACACACCTGAAATTCTTTGGTGTGCTCCTTTATCCAATGTATGCTTTCAGTATGAGCGCCAGTGCCTCTTCCTTTCCTGAACCCAGCTTGGACATCTAGCATTTCTTCCTTTCCTTTCCTTTCCTTTCCTTTCCTTTCCTTTCCTTTCTCCTTCTCCTTTCCTCTCCTTTCCTTTCCTTTCCTTTCCTCCTCTTCTCATTCTTCTTCTCATTCTTCTTCTTGTTGTTGTTGTTGTTATTATTATTATTATTATTATTATTATTATAAACACAAATAGAGTAATACAAATCTCGACAATGATATTCCACTTTCACTCAATACAATATATCTTATTTTCTTAATCTTACCAATCCCAATTCCACACTTATCTACCATTTGTGTCCAACATTTTTTTCTCCGCTCCCTTCCCCTTCACCCCCATGTGCCAAAATTGTTGTATCTTCAGTTCGAGTATTATTCATTTTACTTGATCAGTTATTAAGAGAGTATGGATCATAGAATCCATAGAATCATAGAATCAAAGAGTTGGAAGAGACCTCATGGGCCATCCAGTCCAACCCCCTGCCAAGAAGCAGGAATATTGCATTCAAATCACCCCTGACAGATGGCCATCCAGCCTCTGTTTAAAAGCTTCCAAAGAAGGAGCCTCCACCACACTCCGGGGCAGAGAGTTCCACTGCTGAACGGCTCTCACAGTCAGGAAGTTCTTCCTTGTGTTCAGATGGAATCTCCTTTCTTGTAGTTTGAGATGGCTCAGATTGTTATCTTTTCTTTTTCCTTTTACTCTTGTTGTTGTTCATTCGTTCAGTCGTCTCCGACTCTTCGTGACCTCATGGACCAGCCTACGCCAGAGCTCCCTGTCGGCCGTTACCACCCCCAACTCCCTCAAGGTCAGTCCAGTCACTTCAAGGATGCCATCCATCCATCTTGCCCTTGGTCGGCCCCTCTTCCTTTTGCCTTCCACTTTCCCCAGCATAATTGTCTTCTCTAGGCTTTCCTGTCTCCTCATGATGTGGCCAAAGTACTTCAACTTTGTCTCTAGTATCTTTCCCTCCAGTTAGCAGTCGGGCTTTATTTCCTGGAGGATGGACTGGTTGGATCTTCTCGCAGTCCAAGGCACTCTCAGCACTTTCCTCCAACACCACAGCTCAAAAGCATCGATCTTCCTTCGCTCAGCCTTCCCTAAGGTCCAGCTCTCACATCCGTAGGTACTACAGGGAATACCATGGCTTTGACTAGGCGGATCTTTGTTGCCAGTCTGATGTCTCTACTCTTTACTATTTTATCGAGACTGGACATTGCTCTCCTCCCAAGAAGTAAGCGTCTTCTGATTTCCTGGCTACAGTCTGCATCTGCAGTAATCTTTGCACCTAGAAATACAAAGTCTGTCACGGCCTCCACGGTTTCTCCCTCTATTTTCCAGTTGTCAATCATTCTTGTTGCCATAATCTTGGTTTTTTTGACGTTTAGCTGCAACCCGGCTTTTGCGCTTTCTTCTTTCACCTTGATTAGAAGGCTCCTCAGCTCCTCCTCGCTTTCGGCCATCAGAGTGGTGTCATCTGCATATCTGAGGTTGTTAATGTTTCTTCCAGCATTTTTCACCCCAGCTTTGCATTCATCCAGCCCCGCACATCGCATGATGTGTTCTGCATACAAGTTAAAAAGGTTGGGTGAGAGTATGCAGCCTTGCCGTACGCCTTTCCCAATCTTGAACCAGTCTTTTGTTCCGTGGTCAGTTCTTACTGTTGCTACTTGGTCCTTGTACAGATTCCTCAGGAGAGAGACAAGGTGGCTTGGGATGCCCATCCCACTAAGAACTTGCCACAATTTATTATGATCCCCACAGTCAAAGGCTTTAGAATAGTCAATGAAGCAGAAGTAGATGTTTTTCTGAAACTCCCTGCCTTTCTCCATTATCCAGCGGATATTGGCAATTTGGTCTCTCGTTCCTCTGCCTTTTCTAAACCCAGCTTGAACATCTGGCAACTCTCGCTCCATGTATTGCTGGAGTTTTCCTTGCAGGATCTTGAGCATTACCTTACTGGCGTGAGAAATAAGGGCCACTGTACGGAAGTTTGAGCAGTCTTTCGCATTTCCCTTTTTTGGTATGGGGATATAAGTTGATTTTTTCCAGTCTGATGGCCATTCTTGTGTTTTCCATATTTGCTGGCATATGGCATGCATCACCTTGACAGCATCATCTTCCTTTTACTCTAGCAGTCAGAATTCCCCATTTCTTTTGAAATCGTACCTTTGTCACCCCACTTCTGGACTTTAATCAGAGTCTCCATCGTTATTATGCTCTTGGAATGATTGCAATCCATTGTTGCAATCCTCCTCCAGTCTGAAGGAGACCTTGTTCACTTTAAAGATAGCTTATATTCTGATGGTGATGACATCTTTATCCTTGTGTGGAAAGAAATAAAGGTTTATAAAAGTGAAAAAAAATCCCCATTTCGAGTCTAGCACTTCTGACTCCTTTTCTGGTAAAAGTTTTTATTGTGGAATTTTGAACATCATGGGAATAGAAGAAATACTCATTTATTGGGTTGCCTTTAAAGTGTCCGCTGGAAAAAAATAGCCAGCCACTGAGAGATTTTTCCTTTTGCAAGAGCAAAACACCAAGAATCATAGAATCATAGAATCAAATAATTGGAAGAGACCTCATGGGCCATCCAGTCCAGCCTCCTGCCAAGAAGCAGGACAATTGTGTTCAAAGCATCCCCAACAGATGGCAAGTGTTCCGTACAATGCATCAACCTGGAACTCTCTTGGGTGCAACTAGATTGTAGAATGTGTTACGTTGAGTTGTAAAAGGGTCAGCACCAAGTATATGTGTGTGTTAAAGAAAACCTTATACTGTTAATTATCATGTGCAGCTGCTAATCTAGGTCAGCAAGTACGTTTGAGCCACACCCGGTAGGGTATAACTGTATGTGGTTTGGAATACACTTCAGCTCTATACTTAAAAAGCTTTTGCTCTGAGGAGCTTATGCACAAAGCATTTTGCTCAACCATTTGTAATGCTCATTTGAAGGAAGATAGAACCAGAGGATCATAGAGTTGGAAGAGACCTCATGGGCCATCCAGTCCAACCCCCTGCCAAGAAGCAGGAAAATCACATTCAAAGCACCCCCAATAGATGGCCATTCAGCCTCTGTTTAAAAGCCTCCATAGAAGGAGCCTCGACCACACTCCGGGGTAGAGAGTTCCACTGCCGAACTGCTCTCACAGTCACGATGTTCTTCCAAATGTTCAGGTGGAATCTCCTTTCCTGTAGTTCGAAACCATTGTTCTGTGTCCTAGTCTCCAGGGAAGCAGAAAACAAGCTTGCTCCCTCCTCCCTATGACTTCCCCTCAAATATTTATACATGTATATCATATCTCCTCTCAGTCTTCTCTTCTGTAGGCTAAACACGCTCAGATCTTTAAGCCGTTCCTCATAGGACTTTTTCTCCAGACTCTTGATCATTTTAGTCGCCCTCCTCTGGACACATTCCAGCTTGTCAACATCTCCCTTCAATTGTGGTGCCCAGAATTGGACACAATATTCCAGATGTGGTCTGACCAAGGCAGAATAGAGGGGTAGCATTGCTTCCCTAGATCTAGACACTAGGCTCCTATTGACGCAGGCCAAAATCCCACTGGCTTTTTTGCATCACATTGTTGGCGTATGTTTAACTTGTTGTCTACAAAGACTCCAAGATCTTTATGTACTGCTCTCGAGCCAGGCATCCCCCATTCTATATCTTTGCATTTCATTTTGTCTGCCTAAGTGGAGTCTTGCATTTGTCACTGTTGAATTTCATTTTGCTAGTTTAGGCCCATCTGTTCTGGTACGGCCATACCAGGAGCTCCAGAGTCTTGCTATTTGTTGAGTGTTGTATGTTTTTTAAAGTTCTATGCATTTGCAGTTAGATGGCTTTCCTTACTTTGCAGTTATTGGGTCAATGACCTGTCAATTATCATTAGGTTCTCTAATTCTGCCCCCTTTTTGGGTTTTGGAGGGAATAGGAGTCATTTTAGGTCTGTCCACACAGAGAAGTCTTTCTTACAGGACTTAAACCAGGACCTCCTGTAAAAGGCTTCATCATTTACAGCTTGACCGGAGAGAAATAGCCCCATAGCTTGGCCAGGGATATAGAGACTCAGCACAGCCTTTGCTAGGGACTTTACAGTTTGCTGAGGAACTTACAGCCTCTCAGCTCTCTTGCTAGGGATCCAGTCCCACAGCGCTTCAGCCAGCCATCACTGGGAAGTGAACATCTTCCTCCTCCTGGAAGTTCTGCAAAGGTCTCTGTTCGCTAAGAGCCCTTTGCGGCAACCATAAAGCAGATTGGACCGGGTGTAGGGGCCCCACGCCAACAGAAGAGAAGACAGATTGCCCAGGGTAGAGGTCAGGGATTTTCCCAACAGTGAAGGAACAGTTGCCTGTCCTTGGGGGCAAGATCGAGAAATCCAACAGTTTATTAAGAAAACTTTGAATCCAATCATTGAAGATTTGTTATTTGTTCAGTAATAAAGATTTTGTTGCATCTTTAAAGACTTTGGAGCCCATCTTTTCAGGAAAATCTCAAAAAAACCTCTCTCTGAGGCAACCCCGGCATCCCGTTGGGCTCACAGAAATTAAGTTCTGTTTATAGTCTTTTATAGGAGCCCAGCACGCGACAGCACACCATCATCTCTCTAATCTGTTAAGATCGTTTTGAATTCTGCTCCTATCTTCTGGAGTATTGGCTCTCCCTCCCAATTTGGTCCTGTCTACAAATTTGGTGTCGTCTGCAAGCACTTCTTAAAAATTGTTGTAGCTGACAACTTGCATTGTGTGCAACCCCCAAAATTATAGAAAAAAATTGTGACAATCTATCATAAATGAGAAAACAAAAACCAAAGAAAGGCTTGTTTATCAGGTAAAAAAACATGGTTTACTTTTGCATGGAATATACCAAGATTTATATCTAAGAGGTCTTTTTTTAAAAAGAACGTGATAAGTTTGTCTTGGGATGGCACTGCCAGTAAAATGAAACCAGAGTTGTTTTTAGCATGATTAGTAATCACTATTTCCTTAATTAGGTTCCACATCCCCATAGAGTGGTTTGCAAACTTGGCAGTTTATTAGTTCCCTGTTGACTCGCCTTAATTCATTCTCTTGTCTTTCACAGAGTATTTGAAGAAGCAGAAAAAGCAGCAAGCGCATAGAGAGGAAGACGGCTCCGATGGCCAGCAACAACACCACCAGCATAGCCCAAGCCAGGAAACTGGTAGAACAGCTCAAAATGGAGGCCAATATCGACAGAATAAAGGTAAATCCCAATTGGGTCCTTCTTCACTCATGGGTCAGGTTCTGAGCTAAGCCTTGGAGTTCATTCTGAAGCACATGGGATGGGGGGTTCCTTCATGAGAAGATCCATATTGAATGAGACCTCAAGTGCCCAGTCTTTTTGGTTAGTCCCAACTAGAGTAGACCCATGGAATCAGTCACTGGTGAAGTCAACATGTAGCTAAATTTCATTAATGCATTGACACATCAGTTGAACCCTCAGTCTACAATAGAGTGCCCTGTTGCAACTCAGGGAAGTTTTCACCTTGCTCCAGACACCACCACACCAAGGCTGTAGGTTTTTGTAGTTTATTGAGAAAAGCAAAATCAAAACAAAGAAATAGAAATGCAATAGTTCCATAGGCAAAACAGAGACTTAAATGTAAAAGCAAAGTTCCCAAGATCCAAAGGCAAAAACATGAAGCATAATCCTTTAGCAATGGTCAAACAAAAGTCCATGGTAAACAGTTGAAAACAAGGCCCAAATCCCAGACTCAGGAAGCCAGAAGTGTGCTGCGAAAAGCCAAGAAAAATCTCCAGAAGTTAACATGGGAAGAGCAATGTTGGACTGACAACAACTGTCTGTCAGCTACAAGACTAAATACCCTTTGCAAACATGAAAGCATTGCATTGACCTTGAGCCCCTTTGGCTTCTCGCTTGCTGGCCAAGCGAGTGCTTCTCCGAAGCCTTAATTGCAAACGATCTTGTCTGCTCATTAATTCATTATCTGCAAGGCTATGCAACCTCTTATCTGGGTCCAGCTGGGATGGATCCTCCACCTGGCCGTGTGGGATTTCACTCTCGCTATCTGCAGGAACATTCCTTTCCCCGGGGAACTGACTTGTTGTTTCTCCTTCAGCAGCCACACTATCAGCCCCGTCTGAAACATGTATAGGAATCTGTAACCCATCAGCCTCCTTGTCATCCTGCAGGAAATCAGGCTCAGAAGGCCCAAAGTCCCCAAAGTCAAGCTCAGAAGGCTCAAACAGCTCAGCTTCAGACTCAGTCAAGCTGAGTCACAACATGCCCATACTAACACTGTGATTTCACTTATCTATGTCCAAAAAAAGTATCTTCTCTCTAGATGTTGTCTAGTTTCTCCACTGCCATTCTATGCTATGCTTCGACTGGACTTTGACCATAGAATAGTTCTATAGCAGGGCATCTTAATCTTTTTCCAATTGCTTTTCTGCCTGAAATTTTTGACATAACCTCAGGTATACAGGAAGTCCCCAAGTTATGAACAAGACAGGTTCTGTGGGTTTCTTCTTAATCTGGATCTGTATGTAAGTCAGAACAGGGACATTTTTAAAAGTGTAATTCCAACCATATATATCTATTGTTTAGCTTTGGATGTCATAGGGGGGTTAACACACCTGTGGTGTTTCCTTTGCTGTCTATGCCTCTGTTCAGAAGAATTCATCTCATTTGTGTCCCAGTTCATGTTCTGGTAACACCCAACCATAAAATTACTTTTGTTGCTTTGTTGTTGTTCATTCGTTCAGTCGTTTCCAACTCTTCGTGACCTCATGGACCAGCCCACACCAGAGCTCCCTGTTGGCCATCACCACCCCCAGCTCCTTCAAGGTCAATGTAGTCACTTCAAGGATGCCATCTATCCATCTTGTCCTTGGTCAGCCCCTCTTCCTTTTCCCTTCCATTTTCCCCCAGCATCATTGTCTTTTTGTTGCTACTTAACTGTAATTTTGCTACTGTTATGAACTGTAATGTAAATATCTGATCTGCAGGATGTATTTTCATTCACTGGACAAAATTGGGCACAAATACCCGATACACCCAAATTTGAGTACTGGTGGGGTTGGGGGAGGCTGATTTTGTCATTTGCGAGTTGTAGTTGCTGGGATTTATAGTTAACCTACAATCAAAGAGCATTCTGAACTCCACCAATGATGGAACTGAACCAAACTTGGCATACAGAACTCCCACGACCAACAGAAAATACTAGAAGGATTTGGTGTGCATTGACCTTGAGTTTGGGAGTTGTAGTTCACCTACACCCAGAGAGCACTGTGGACTCAAACAATGATGTATCTGGACCAAACTTGGCACAAATCCTCAATATGCCCAAATGTGAACACTGGTGGAGTTTGGGGAAAATAGACTTGACATTTGGGAGTTGTAGTTGCTGGGATTTATAGTTCACCTACAATCAAAGAGAATTCTGAAACCTACCAATGATAGAATTGAGTCAGACTTCCCTCACAGAACCCCCCATGACGAACAGAAAATATGTTTTCTGATGGTCTTTGGTGACCCCTCTGAACCCGCTTGTGACCCCCCAGGAGTCCCGACCCCTAGATTGAGAAACACTTCTATTGATGCAGCCTAGAAATTGACCATAAAGTCATTCTGGAGGAGCAAGAGAGTACATTTTTATCAAATCTGCCAATCTAGAAGGCCATGTGTAATGAATCCCTTTACTGAGCTGGCTGCCTGAAGCCTAAGGGAGTTGGCCTGGCGAAGCCAAGGCATCCGTTTTAGGAAAGGGAGACAGGGAGAAGCCATTTTAGTTAGGTTTGCCTTGAGGGAGCATGTTCAAGTCTAAGAGGGAAAATCAGAAGGCTAGGATTGGTTAGAAAGATGGGGGCGAAGCCTAAGTGGTCTAGAGGGAGAAAGTGTCTTGAAGTCCCAGTTTAGTCAGTAGGGTTTGGAGCTGTTAGAAAGAAGAAGTGTTGGTGTTAGTGAGAGTGAGTTTGGGTTTAGGGAAGAAGATTGGGTCAGTCTTTTGTGAAGTATTCAGAGTAGCTATTGAGTAAATAGCTAGAATACTGTTGAGGAGCAGTACCCAGTTAGTGGACTGTTCAATTCCTAAGGAAGTCTAGTTCAGGGTATTTTTGGCTAGATTTGTAAGGGGTATTTTTGGGAGTTACTTTCAGAGATTCATTTCCTGAAGTAATTTTCTGTGGTGAAACTTTGAAGACTTGTAACCCAGAAGATCTTAAGATCTTAACTCTAACGCAACCACAAGCTTCTTACGCCAGTATTTTACTGAAACTATTAAGCATTTGTACCTGAATATTTCATGCCTGTTTAATAAACGTTCTAGTTCTTTTATTCAACTTATACCAGCCTCAGTGTGAATACCTTTGTGGTCAAAGTATTATTAAAGTCAGCTTCACAGCAGCTTCTAAGAAACTGTAGAGGCACAGTGTGTGTTCCAGAACAAACTCTCAATATTACCTCAGCCTGATTAATATTGAGATGGTGGCAGCGGAATTCTTTTGAAGAAGATTTTAAGTCTCTCAGTTCTAGTGGTTCCCAGTTCCTAACTTTTAAATATGCAGTTGGTTCAGCAACCATACTCCCTCATCCTTGTGATGGCTTTATAATGTTGGCTGAGCATTCGTTGGGGTTATTTTATATATTTCCCCGTCTATAAATTAAATTAAAAATCTTACATCGTTGCTTTATATTTTTGGTGAGCAGCATGTTTTTTTACACTGTGATTGCTTTCATCTTCTTGCCTTACTCCTTGCAGGTGTCCAAAGCAGCCGCAGACTTGATGGCCTACTGCGAAGCTCATGCCAAGGAGGACCCGTTATTGACTCCGGTCCCGGCTTCAGAAAACCCATTTAGAGAGAAGAAGTTCTTCTGCGCCATCCTGTAAGCCTCATGGAGGCCTGGCTCCCATTTGGGCTACCCTGGACACTGATGTAGAGATTTTTCAGCACTGTGGACATGTTTCCGGAGTCCACTCAATTGAAAACAAAACAAAACAAAAAAAGTAATCCAACAGCCTGGAAGTTTACAGGGAAAGTTAGTGCATGATCCAAAAGCGAATTGTCTGCCTTCTTTGGAGAAGGCATTGATGATGTTGATGTTGACCTACGTCATCACGAGGTGAAAGATCTTGACATCTTGCAGAGTTGCCTGGAGCGGGAGGGGGAAAATGTGTAACAGAGTCGGTTTCATGTCCCATTTGCTCTTGCCAAACAAACCCCTTTTGTTTCTCTCTTCTTTTTCCAAAAAAAAAAAAAAGGATTAAAATTTAAAAAAATTAAAAAGAGGGGTCGCGGAGCAAAGCTGCAAATGATGCAAACGTGTGTGTGTGTGTGTATGTTTGTAGCCGTATGAATTTTCTACCCTCTTGCTTTCCCCTACATGTCACTTTTATTTATGTTGAATTGTAAAATAATCATTGCGACAAGTTAGATTTATTAAGACGTTTCTTAATGTGGGGTCTTTTGTGTGTATTTAGCATTTCAGAGTTCGTGCCACACAAGGGCAGGGAGTGTGGGGTGGGGACGGGGGAAATCTGCAACCATGGCAGCCTAATCAGCAACCCTTTCGGATGGCAGATTTAGCTGAGAATGGGTCCTAGCTTTGAACGGCCCAAGGAGGCCGACTTGTACGTTCCTAGTATACTTCGTACCTCTGTTTTCTAACATTTGTATTCAGTAGCTTTTGTTCTGCAAGTAAACTGTATGTTGTGATGGGCATCTTGACTCATTTTCTTTATTGCCTCATTCCCTATGGGTGCATCTACACTGTAGAATTATTGCAGTTTGACACCTCTTCAACTTGTGCTTTAGGAGCCCCCGGTAGCGCAATGGGTTAAACCCTTGTGCCGGCAGGACTGAAGACCCAAAGGTCGGAGGTTCAATTACAGGGAAAGCATAGATGAGCTCCCTCTATCCGCTCCAGCTCCCCATGTGGGGACATGAGAGAAGCCTCCCACAAGGATGGTAAAACATCAAAAATATCTGGGCATCCCTTGGGCAACATCTTTGTAGACGGCCAATTCTCTCACACCAGAAGCAACTTGCAGTCCCTCCAAGTTGCTCCTGACATGGAAAAAAAAAAGTGTGCTTTTCACATTAAGAACAGACAAGCATCTCGAACTCTGAGGTTACCTCGGAAGGAATCCCACTGGAGCCTTTTAGCAAGCCAAAATACCTGTGAGTCACTCTGGACCCGTGCTCTGACTTATAAGAAGCACTACTTGACTATCAAGCAAAAAGTGGGTGCTAGAAATAATATCATACAAAAGCTGACTGGCACAACCTAGGGATCGCAAGCAGACACAAGGAAGACATCTGTCCTTGCACTTTGCTACTCTGCTGCTGAGTACCCATGCACAGTTTGAAACACATCTCACCACGCTAAAACAGTGGATGTGACTCTTAATGAGACATGCCACATTGTCACAAGGTGTCTACGCCCCACACTACTGGAGAAATTACACTGTTTACACCACCTGATATCCACCGTGAAGTAGCAGCCAACAATGAAAGGACTAAGGCATTGATTTCTTCGGCCCATCCTCTGTTCAGATATCAGCCAGCATGCCAATGCCTTAAATCAAGAAACAGCTTCATAAGATCTACAGAGATATTTCCAGGAACACCTCAGCAAGCAAGAGTCCAAAAGTGGCAGGCTAAAATCCAACACCTCAATCAGTGGCTGAGATCAGATAAGAAACTCCCTCCTGGGCACACAGAAGAGTGGATGATCTAGAAGGCGTTGAACAGACTGTGCTCTGGCACCACAAGATGGAGAGCCAACCTTAAGAAATGGGAGTGGAGTCCACAATATGCGAGTGTGGAGAAGAGCAAACCACAGACCACCTACTACAATGCAACCTGAGCCCTGCCACATACACAACGGAGGACCTTCTCACAGCGACACCAGAGGCACTCCAAGTGGCCAGATACTGGTCAAAGAACATTTAATCAACTACCAAGCTTGCAAACTTTGTGTTTTGGCTGCTTGTTTTGTTCTGTTAGAAATGTAATACAATGGTCTGGTTGCCCCGACACGATAAATAAAAATAAATACTGCAGCAAAAGTGATCATTACCTCCTTAATGTGTTCTCAAGGGTCTGGAGAACAAGCCCTATGAGGAGCGGCTTAAATAGCTGGGCATGTTTAGCCTGCAGAAGAGAAGGCTGAGAGGAGACATGATAGCCATGTGAGGGGAAGTCATAGGGAGGAAGGAGCAAACCTGTTTTCTGCTGCCCTGGAGATTGGACGCGGAACAATGGCTTCAAACACCTGAACATTAGGAAGATATATTGTTGAAGGCTTTCATGGCTGGAATCACTAGGTTCTTGTGGGTTTTTTCGGGCTATAGAGCCATGTTCTAGAGGAATTTCTCCTGACGTTTCGCCTGCATCTATGGCAAGCATCCTCAGAGGTAGAGGTATTAGGAAGATAAATAACCTCTTCAACTGATCATTACCTCCTTAATGTGACTACTAAACAACCTTTTCTGTACATGTTAAGAATGTCGGAGCCCCACATTCCCATCCAATTTCTGGTAGAAGAAAAAGAAGAATGCTTTGAAGGAGTCGAAGCAAAACCATCTCATATAAATGATACCTGAGCATGATGGGAGCTGCAGTATAGCAAGAGAGCAGGTAAGGGAAGCCTGATTTTCCTTACACTTCAGACTCCTCCAATTTTAAGCACTGGAAAAGGGAGGTCATTGGCCTTCTGAACAGCCCACAGAAATAACCGTAACTTAATCTTCGTCCCTTTCCAGTACAGCTGTACAAACTTTGGCTGCTTCTCCATCCATTCCCAAAGAGATTTGATCCAGTTTTAAGTTTTGGCACTCGGTGCTCCGCAACACAGAGAACCGATTGTCTGATTGTCCGCAAGGGGCAAGGATGCAAATTCCTGGATTAGAGAGGGAATTTGAAGTGGCCGCAATGTTTGTTAATGTTTTGTTTCAGCATTTGGACAGCCTCCAGCTAACTCCAGCAGGTTATCAGGGTGGCTTAGGGTTAGAAGAAAATGTCCAAAATGCACAAGGATAAGGAATGGGTGAATTCTCCAACATCTGGGGAGTGGACATGTATATATTAGGCTTGGTTGATCCAAAAAAAATGGTTCAAAACGCATTTTGGATGTAGGGGGACGCTGGTGGTTCAACTCGGAATTGAATTCCGAATTTTTCCTTAAAAAATTCGGAACTTTTGAAATTTCCGAATTGCTTTGTTAAAGTTGATTTCACACCTTTAGGAAAAATATTTTGACTATATGGGATTTGTAATGTCTTTTCTGGCAACACAAGGCAAACAAAGGAAACAAACAACAGAGAGAGGCCTTTGTGGTTTTGGAAGTTGTTATCACACCTTTAGGAAAGATAGTTTGTGTTCAAGGAGTGGCTTGAATTGATAGATCTAGTTCTATTGAGGCAATGTACAACACTGAGGCCAGGCCAGAGAGATCTGCTACAACATGGGGCTTTTTCAAACTTTGGAGTACTTTGTTTCCTCCGTGCTGTTCATTCCTTCCTTCCACCCACGCCACGCCACACACACACACACCTCACCCACTTGACACCCACCCGTCCCAAACCCCAACAGCAACAACACACAAGCGGCAAGGCAGCCAGCCCAGCCAGGCAACAGCTCTTCTCCACTTGCCCTGCTCTTCTAACCGCTCTTCTTCGAACGTCCTTTCCCTTTCTCTTTCCCTTTCCCTTCATAGAATCATAGAATCAAAGAGTTGGAAGAGACCTCATGGGCCATCCAGTCCAACCCCCTGCCAAGAAGCAGGCATTCAAATCACCCCTGACAGATGGCCATCCAGCCTCTGTTTAAAAGCTTCCAAAGAAGGAGCCTCCACCACACTCCGGGGCAGAGAGTTCCACTGCTGAACGGCTCTCACAGTCAGGAAGTTCTTTCTCATGTTCAGATGGAATCTCCTCTCTTGTAGTTTGAAGCCATTGTTCCGCGTCCTAGTCTCCAGGGAAGCAGAAAACAAGCTTGCTCCCTCCTCCCTGTGGCTTCCTCTCACATTTATACATGGCTATCATATCTCCTCTCAGCCTTCTCTTCTTCAGGCTAAACATGCCCAGCTCCTAAGCCGCTCCTCATAGGGCTTGTTCTCCAGACCCTTGATCATTTTAGTCGCCCTCCTCTGGACACATTCCAGCTTGTCAATATCTCTCTTGAATTGTGGTGCCCAGAATTGGACACAGTATTCCAGATGTGGTCTAACCAAAACAGAATAGAGAGGTAGCATTACTTCCCTAGACCTTCTCCCTTCCTTTCCCGGCTCTGAATGAGCCTCTGAGCTATGTGCTGCCCTTTATATAGCACAATTGCTACCATGCCGAAACCCCTCCCCTCCCCAAAACGTCTCCCCTCATTGGGTGGGAGGCAAGCAGCTTGCATGCTGGGAGGCTTCCTGAGTCATATCAAAAATGGCAAGGGAAGCTTCGAAAGGGCAAAGGAACTTCTTGTTTTTTAAATAACTTCAAAATCGCTTCAAAAAGATAACTTTTCCGACTTTATTTCGAATTACGAGTATTCCGACAATACCTAACCATGCCTAGTATATATGTCAGTTCCCTTCCAGAAGTAGCTGGTTTTTTTAATCCAATGCTTCTTCAGTAGAAGCAGAGTTTTACACAAGTTTCTATTATCAATGTGGTGCCATTGATGTTCACTGCACACTCGAATCATGTATCTCATAGTTGTTGGCCCATTCATTTCTATAAAATTCGAAATCACTAATGTATCATGTACAGCACGGACCCAGACTTTGAAAACTCTATTGAAATAATGGAGTTCAAGCTCAAGAATGTCACCGACTTGTATTGGAGGACATAGAAAATGCTTGCAGAGGGCATGTTTTGTCAGATATGGACAAATGAAACTGTAGATACCAGGTCTGCAGACATGGGGGTCACACTGCAACTCCATAGATAACTCCATACATTCTCTGTCCTTGATACCATCCATGCTAGGTTTTGGAGATGATTCAGCCAGGAAGAGAAAACTTAGCCTCAGCTGCTCTCCTTCTAGTTGCAGATTTTTCCAAATCCTTTCCCCTGTTGTCCCATAATCCTCAGACTCCATCAAGCTTTTATTTGCCCCAATTTGCCAATTGATAGTCTCCTGATTGTACTTTTGCATATATTTAGGTGGAATGTCTTTTTCTGTAGTTTGAATCGATTGCTCCATTGTGTCCTGGTCTCTGAGGCAGCAGGAAGAAAGTTTGCCCCCTCCTCAATGGGACCGCCTTTCAAATATTTCAACATGGCTCTCCTGTCTATCTCTCAACTTTCTCTTCTCCAAGCTAAACATCCCCAAATCTCTAAGCCACCGGTCAGAGGGATTAATGGTCTCCCGACCTTTGACCATTTCGGTCTCACTTCTCTGGACACATTCAAACTTGTCCATCTCCTTGAATTGTGGGGTGCAGAACTGGACACCATGTTATTCCAGGTGAGTCTGGTGAAGAACCTGATGAATTTTGAAAGCTTGCATGATGTAGTTTGTGCATTTTTGTTCACCAATAAAGGCACTGTGGCTTTATGGATTTAGTTGCACTATGCATGTGTCAATTACTAACAGGATGCCAACTCAGTGAGCCAAAAAAGGGCACAATGTGGGCAGATCCTGGACCAAGAGAACCTCAGAATGAAAAGTTAATGAGGTCCTTTAGCATGGACTGCAAGTCCTGTAGCAAAATGTCATTTT